AATTTCCTTTCCTACCCCCCAGCATAAGTATATACAATTGATGGTCTAACATCACTCCCCCCTTGAAGTCTACCTTTTCCCCAAGGTAGGTGTCAAAATTCCCCACAAAGAAACCAGGGAATTGCCATTCGATTGTATCCAGCTCCTCCCAAGTAACCTCCTCCTCCGACAGATGCTTCCAAGCTACGAGGGCTTCCTCCTTGCCAATTGCTTCATTTGTGCGTGTTGTATATACCTCTTCTGGTTTCATTATCCGTTTCATATCCGCTGACACCCATGGGGTCAACTGTTTGACGACAGTCGAATTGCCTACAACCTTCTTTAGTTGTGAGATATGGAAGACAGGGTGGTTGCTCGATTCTGCTGGCAACTTGAGCTTATAGGCAGCCTTCCCTATCCTCTGTATTATCTCAAAGGGTCCGAAGTATTTCGGAGCTAGCTTCTCATTTCGACGTCTGGCCACATACTTCTGACGGTAGGGTCTCAGCTTCAAGTACATCTACTCACCTTCATCGAACTTCAGATCCCTCCGTTTCTTGTTTGCATATAGCTTCATACGCTCTTGGGCCTTCCTCAGGTGTTCTTTGATTCGATCCAAAGCCATATCCCTCTTAGCCAGCTGTTGATCCAGGGTGGCGTTGCTCGTTTTAATGCTATCATACCCCATAACTGTTGGAGGTTGTCGTCCATACACTAACTGAAAAGGTGTTGCCCCGAGTGCTATATGAAACGTGATGTTATACCAGTACTCTGCCCATGGCAGCCAATTACCCCATTGTTTAGGTGAGTCGTTGCAATAGCAACGAAGGCATGTCTGCAGACAACGGTTAACAACTTCGGATTGACCATCTGTTTGGGGTGGTATTCAGTGTGTCACAACCATACTAGTAGAGAGTAGGTTGTGACGCCCACGTAGTGTGCAAGTGTCAGCGACAAGCATATGTCGCCCATCGGGCCATGTCAAGGGCCGAGAGTGAAGTGCCGTGATGCGACCAAGGAGGATGGTGCATCACCTATCACACCATATGGACGTGCTCAAGAATGCCTAGAGAAGGCATATGCAGAATGCAAAGCGAAGGCGACGTCAATGGTGTCGGTGACAAGCTCAAAGGGGGCTAGTTAGGGCCTCGGGCCACGAACCTAGAAGTCGCGGTTCCGTCGAGAGTTTGGACAAGCGGCTTTAGAGTTAGATGCATATTAGT